TCTCGAATTTTTGACTGGCAGTCTGATAAATTGGCGTTCGAGATTTGTTGAACCATTCTACTAACATTTACCTGGGTATGAGTGTATTGGATACAAAACGATGTAAATATTCTGTTAATAGCTGCATAGGTGCAGCTATTTTACTCTACGTCACCCAACGTAAATAATGGACCTGCGCATCAGATTAAGGTATAGCAGGTGCTAAGGCATGAGGAAAGTAAATACTGGCGTGTTCACCTAAAGTTGATTTAGTGGAAACTAAGGACTCTATCTTCGGCTTGACGTATTGCCGGAAGAAAAATAATTAAACAAACCTACAACAAACAATGAGGGCGCATGGAGAATTTTCTCGATACAGCGCTGCATAGTTTTCAAATCTTGGAACCTAGACTCCTTGGTTAAAGTGTGATGCCTTAAATCCTTTGGAACCAAGCTTTCGTTGTTCCGTAGCTAACAGGCATCTGTCCTAGTTTTTGTCGAATTTCTTAGGAGTATTTCTTTATCTATGATGCAAATTTTTTTTGATGAATTTAGGACTAGATTGAGGAACAGCCCTCGCGAGGTTAGGGTTGATCGCTACGGACTTGATGATTTAGAAGGGGACTGATATAATATACTAATCATAGTTGGACCCAGATCGAACTCCGAGCAGCTGATTTACTTGAATTTTCTAGAGTGGCGCCTGACGTCGCAAATACATTTGCCACCTAACTCCAATACTGAATGATATTACCGAAGGCGACCTGCTCGCTCAGTCGGTTGATCTAATCGAGGACTTGTGCATGAAAAAATGATTTCTTGGCGCGTGATCGTGTTGTGGAAAGCCGTCAAGGATGATCTTTGTAGGCTCTAACTAGCCTGGCCAAGTACTTGCTCTAGTTTGGATCAAATGAGTCTCAATTATTAGTCCGTGGGTTTACTGGAAAGAATATGCAGGTATGTGAGAGTTGGGGATATTTGCATGGAACTACGTTACGAATGAATAAAGATATACCTGTAACAGTGGAAATTCAAGCTGGTGAACTGTTGAGGTCCATATGAAAATGAGAAAAGGCTGTAGTAGGTTCGATATAACAACAGCTAACTGACGCTATCTAAATTCAGAGATATTGCTGTTATCTATATATCTCTCTTGCAAGTCTTCACTCCACATATCTACACAAGTTCTCGAAGTCCGAAGAATCTTTTTGACTCGGTTGCGTCACCAATTAACCACGCTCAGCTCCGCGAAAATTAATCTTCTCTAACTTTGGCGTTGGTAGACATTGTGCTGTCCTCCGAGCTTGGTATTTCAACGACTAGGTCGTGCTCGTCAATCCAAGGTGATGAGGCGCCTCAGAGAAGGTTTGTATTGAATGCCACGTATCTGCCATGGACTAACTCCTCTAGATCAGGCTCGTGATTTCCACAAATGATTAACTCGCTTTGGGTAATGATCTAGACTCACGGAAATAGTTATCTCGACAAATCCAATCGACATAGTTTGGGATGTATTAGATTGCTGGCAAAGCACTAGCATCTACCACATCTTGATCTAGCTGGCTGAGGGATATGACGCAACGAGTATTGAGCAGCTATTTGATACTAGGTTACAGGGAGTATAAGATCATCGAGACCTTGAAAGCAGATTCATGACAATAATTTCTACCGTGCCTTTGATAAATGATGCGAAAAAACCACAGAAAACTTAGTGATGCCTTTTAAAGCACTCAAAATTATAGAAACTCGCTCCCAGATGGCTTTATACATATTGAATCCATTAGTTTATGAGATACACCCTGCAAGATCCCCAGGAAATCTTGTACCAGATGGCGATTTTAAAGCGGTGTCTAGACTTTTATTTTCAAAAATAGGTTGAAGCAGGGGGTGAGAGTTGCCCAATGAGTAACCCTTGAATGGTACCGGCAAATTCAACCTCTGGTAAGAATTTTCGGAGGCTGGTTGAATCATGCAATGTGCAAAGCCATGGTGAAAATGAGCTCTTTAAGCGCCGATGGAAGTGGTCGAATAGAACATGGAATTTGAACCAATTGTTAAGACGGCAAAGACTGAACACCTGCAAGCGGTGTCCTTATTGAACCTGGGAGTGAGATATTCTCCTAGAGCCAAGCTCAGTCAAATTTCGCAGTATTGAACAAGCTGGCCCACGAGGTAATGACTCCAAATTCTCCACCAAATCAATCTCTCTCCATCAACGAGATCTATCCTCACCAAAACCTCATCAAGTTTACTGGTACGACTTAGTACATCCTAATTTCAATGTCCATACCTCTCTTCTACTTTATTTGGCCTTAGCTGGCCACCAAATACACGCCCGCACCGGTGTTTACACCCGATAGAGGAAGCAAAGCGTGGCGCACAAATTTGAGAGACAGTCATTTGGGATGGACGTGAGAGAATTCAGGATAAGTTTACAAGATGATGCAGAGGATAGATACCATTTCAACGGCTGTTGAATTTCGAATTTTTGCAAGGAGATTCACAAATTGAGCTTTGTGCTTTCCAAGACTTAGATTGTGAGAATACAGCTGACACTGTAAATACAGGCCAAAGATGGATGGCGCCATGGTCTGCGTCCCGATGGTGTTCTCTGGTACAGTTTGAGTAGCATGGACACCTACTCCACTTGGGAAGGAGACGCTTCAGATAAACTTTCGCGCAGAGACAAGACAGTGGACAATGCAGGCATGTCTGGAGAACTTAGGGTTATGCGCATTTTTCCAGGGTCAGCATTCACGGATGAGAGTTGACTTGGAGTGAAGAACAATTCACCAAAACTGAGCAGTGGTACTTGCAGATGAAATCCGAGGTATTATTGTTCTACCTTTAAATTGAGTCCTATATTCTGTACATTTTCTCTGGTATTGTGTCATAGCTAGCTAGCTGCCTACGCAATTTAAATCTGATGCAAAAAAATAACAAATTGTTGTTCCTTGATTTTTGGGATGAATGGTCTTTTTCCACTATGCTCTCCAGCACAGATCCGAATGTCTTGGATTCAGATATTTCCTTCCAAATAGATTTTTTCTTGATAGCCCTTGTTTCATCAGGCTATAGCAGGGGTTACTCCTTAGCACGCGATCCATCGTAAGATAGGTAGTCCATTGTAGACCCCTGAAAATTTCATCTCATCATGCCTATCATTAATACCATACCAAGGCAAATAAACCAGCACCCCGAATATTTGGGTGAAATCGTCAAATCGAAATCGCTGTACCTTTAGTGGTCATGTATCTAGCAGGAGTATCTGAAAAATGGCGAGTAAACGTTTCCAGGCTTCACGTGAGTTTGTAATGCTTCATAGCATCATCTGCATCAGCACAGACGTATATGATAGGCAGGTATTTCTCGTACCTTTATTTCAGCTTCGAGATGGTTACTAGCAGGTTTTAAACCCTCAACAATCTCAGACTTGTGAGACCGGAGAAATACAGTATCATCTTTTCTGGAATGACAGCGATAACGAGGAATCATATTATCGGCTAATGTCCATGAATTCAATCTAAAGCGCAAAGTCAATGCCAGTATGCGTGCAGCCAGAAAAATCAAGATCCATTTCCGAAGCCCTTCATGGATAACTATACTTTCTCATGGGAGCTTGTATGAAGAATGGCAGCTTAGAATTGTTGGGTGACATCGTATTCAAGACAAAAGACTCTTCCAATTCAGATACAGCCAGGAAATAAAGACCCAAACATTAATTTTGATTCGGACATTTGATAATCGGTACATGCACTGGAATATAACCAGCCGTCCCGAGGCTAGGCAAAGTTGGGAAAGACGAGAGACTGTGCAAAAATAACCGGGAGCCGCTAGCGAAGTGGACCAAGACAAGACGAATATGCCGAGTTACTTTGCCTCCCCTCTTCAATTGTAAGTGGTCATCTCTCTCCCTCTACAGGCCTCAGAGGCTGCATGCAATAGAATTCTGTGTAGAGCTTAGTGCTGTACGTAGCGAATTGCTGATGCGTGAGTCGCACATATTTACTTTACGATGAGTCTCCAAATATCGGGGTTTTGACGATTATAATATCCGAAGATTCCGAAAGATATTGTATCCACCATGCACTAGACTGCGTAATTCTTAAGAAATCATTATTATGGACTTGGCCCGGTTGAGTCGCTCCAAAATTCTACAAGCAGCGTTCGCCCATCAGATTTCTTACCAGCGATCCGTGTATGAACTAATATTTCAAGATAATGGATGATAAATTTTATAGAATACCTAATTACAGACCAGGCTAGAACTCGAAGTGTCTAGAATGTATAGAAAGTGCCCATGATACCCGCAGTGAGCAATAACTGGTGCGGGTGTCCATGCTCGGCAGAGATAGAGCGGAAACCGGGCCAAAGCATCTTCCAAAATAAGAGGGCATCTAGAAGAATCCAAATGGGTTGAGGAAGCTAAAAGTCTAAGACCGCTCATCAGTACTCGCCATAGGTCTCACGATGGGTAGATTGGAAGGTCTTAGCCTTAACTCTACGCCTACAGATATTTTCACGGTGGCTATTGATAGATATCAAATCAATAGTAGTAAGTATGACCAGTACAGGGTCTCGAGTAATCAGAGCCGTGGATGTAAGATTCAACAGTCAAGAATCGTCTTCTGAAGCTCGTTATCGTCCAAATGACTGTATTCCCGGAGAATCTTCTCAACTCGCGTGGGCATACACGCCACTCCAGAGCCGGTTGTGTGTCAGAGATGATATAATCCACGCTCATACCTTCACATATCCCTTCTTTTGGTTTTTCCCATAGCGTTACCAAACATATCCTCCTCTGATGCTGATTTGGATATAATGTCGGCAACCACGCTCCCTCTGAACTGGCATTCTATCACGTCTCAGAATCGTTGAATCTACTACTCTCTCTCCCTCACTGATTTCCATGTCAATCATTTACGGCGGCTAAGCAGTATATTGTTATCTTGATTGGCACCTCTTACTTCTTGAACAGCCTGGAACCCAAATCTCTCTGCATTTTCTCTACTCTCCGTGAGATGCTGCTGTCCGCTTCAATCCCTCTGTCATTTCTTGTCTGGGCATGCTCGGCCTATAGCCCTTCGGAGCGAACATTTACTGTCAATCATTTCTATGGCCAACAGAATCTCATCACAGCACGAATGGATCCCATTCTCTCTCCGGATGGTCCCTCAGGCCATGTGCATGCTGTCCAGGGCGGGAATGCTTTTGCTATGAGTATGTCGGATGAACAGGCCCTCAAATCAACATGCACTTCATCCTTGGTCAAGAACGATAAGAGTAACTATTGGACCCCGGCTCTGTATTTCCAGGACCCTGAGACCGGCAAACTAGAAGCTGTAGAGCTATCCTACATGCAGGTCTACTACTTGTGAGTTCGACATAGCTCACTTCATGGCATGGGTTGACTTACATAATCGCATGTCTCGTGATTGTTGCTGACTCGTAAATACCTAGTTTTGAGGCAACGTCTGACGTAATCAAGCCCTTTCCGCCCGGCCTCAGAATCGTAGTCGGCGATCCAAGCTTGCGCACTCCACCTGCCACTGGAGGCCTTTTGATCAATGATCTCTCTGAAGGGACACCTCAGCCAGTTCAGTGGACTTGCCCGAGATCTAACGATAGACCACCTCTCTACCCAGAAAACTCTGATGGCCTAAATGGTGCCGGCATTCAAGATCCAAGAAATCCAGGCTCTGGCGTCGGATTTCCCGATCGAAACTGTGATGGATTTGCCTCTCCTCTGCGAGCAGACATCCACTTCCCATCATGCTATAATCCTGATGCGGGCTTGAGGGACTACAAAAATAATATGCAGTTTCCAACTAAGGGTAACTGTCCATCTGGCTGGGTGCATGTTCCTCATCTCTTCTACGAAGTATACTGGGACACAGCCAAGTTCGCTGATCGCTGGAGCCAGGGAGATGGAAGCCAACCCTTTGTGCTTGCCAATGGTGATCCCACTGGATATAGCCTTCATGGCGATTTCATCGCGGGCTGGGATGTGCAGACGCTGCAACAGATCATTGATAACTGCAACACGGGCACAAGTGCCATGCATACCTGCCCTGGCCTGATTGGTGGACTGGAAGATCCATCTACAACATGCACCATTGACAATCCCTTTCCCAAGGAAGCAGTATCCGGTGTCCTCTCTGCCTTACCAGGCGATAACCCTATCGGCGCCTGGGGCCGAAGAAAGAAATCTGTGCGATCGTCACTCCTATCTTCTTTCTCAGGATTGTTTACTGCTGCAGAGCACGCAAATGCTCTGCTAGGGAAGAGGAGCTCCATCGTTTCTTCCCCTCGAAACGCTCAATTGCAGCCTGGCTGGTCATATGTCGGCTGCCACGCTGACAACGACCGAGAAAACAACTTTGTCGCCAACTATACATCCCTGGATCTCGCACCCAAATCCCTGACAAATGCCAAATGCGTAGCTTATTGCGAAAGAGCTGGCTATTCTATCGCTAGCACGAGAAACGGCAGGTTAGTTTGATCTCCCACTTTTCCACCCCGTCTCGAATTATAACTTACCCCACCTCTAGTCAATGCTATTGTAACAACGCTACAACCTTCTCTAAGAAAATTCCATCAAATTCTTGCGATGTGCCTTGTGAAGGTGACACTAGTCAGACCTGTGGAGGAACCTCTTCTATCAGCGCATACTCAAAAGACCTAAGCTATACTAAAACTCGTCCTCGCATACACAAAAACGACATATTTTTATAACAGGCCGCTATAGCATAAAAGGGTATGATTTATTTAACGCCGGTCTGTTTTTCATGAATTAAAATGAGATTATTTGGAGAGATAGGGGAAAATAACGTGTGTTCGGTTTGGGAAACGCAGAAGGACGGAGTACCGTTTTACAACAGAAACTGACACGTTTTCGGGGATTTTGACGACTCAATTTTTTGTTCAATTTTTCTTGCCTTCTTAAATTTTTAAGGTTTTGTAGTACATGATTGACTTCATTTATATATTACAGATTGTATGATAGTTCTGACCTAAGATTTCGGAGGTCCTCAAAGCGTGTATCCGATAGTATTTTCGAAATCGAAGTCTTGTGAAAAGCCTGTGATTCTGTCATTCTCAATTTTTCCAATTATTTACCACTTCAACTTGTTCCATGAAGATTTTTGGTTAGAATAAATGATAAATATTTAGAAGCCAGCTTTAGTTAGACTGAAATTCACCATGATACGTGGTCGAAAAGGTCGAATTTCTCTGACCAGTATTGGGGAATTGTCTTAGAAGGTCTACAGTGAGCGGGTTCTGACAAATGGTTTTTTTCAATTACCGATAGAGCAATAGTGTCAGACTTGGTGCATGGCGTGTAGAAATACTGCGTGAGTTTTCCCATATCCTCCTAACTAAGCAAGTTTCGGCAGGAAGGATTAGGAGCTAGGCGAACTGAGTCCAATTCGATGAGCTGATCCTGCCTCTTTTCCTCTAGCATATTACCGACTGCTATATCCTAAAACGTCGGGTTGATGAAGGGGTAGTTCTATCTATTGATCGAAGGATTGTCGAAAGCCATAGCAATGGCAGAGCGAAGGAAGAGAGGAGGTGAGGAACCCTCATCACATTAGAGTCAGGCCGCCCAAGGGAAATCAGAGGGACTCTACTTGCTGCTCCGTCGTGTATGTTCTGGCGAGTTCAACTGGCACAGTGTCCCAAAGTCAAACCGTATTGATAGAGGCCAAGGCGTCAAAGGGAGAAATTATTCTGCCAGCCTCGACTAACTCAAATCCGTCCTGATTCTATGAGAAGCATCATATATACTGCCAAGTAAGCAGATCCCTTACTATTCTATCTTATATCACCACCAAAAACTAATTTTATGCCATAAAAAATTGATCTTGAGGCAAATCGAAAGTATGGTGCCCACCAAATTCTGTATGAAATGCTGAATTAAATCTCATAGACTTGATAGGCTAGGAATAAATTGATTATAAGCACCATATCAATCTTTACAAGGCCCGAGGTAGTCTATTACCAAACAGGCATTCTAGTAAATCATCACAGGCAACCATTTCCCCGGCACTTCCTTCTTTAGCGAGAAGCTTTACTAAAGACGCTTGCTGTAATTGAATTGAGTTTGAATTTCCTAACTCTTTCTCAACGTCTACTTCAGAGGTTATACTTTGTAATGCAGCTAGCCCTTGATCTAGATGTTCCATTCGGCGTCGTAGTGATAAATAATAGATAGATTCCTCGACCGTGTCTTGAACAATAAATAGCCAAACATTGGTTTCTTGCTGTTGTCCGATGCGGTCAACACGTGCAATTGCTTGCAGCTCAAGGGCAGTATTGATTAACGGCTCACAGAGGATAACATGACTAGCGTTTATCAAGTTTAATCCAGAACTGTGAGCCCGAGCATGCAAAAAAAAACACTCTATGCCGGGATCTTGTTTAAATAATTCGATACCGTCGGTTCGATCTATAGAAGTGTATCGTATTCTGGACTGTTCGAAAGCATGTCCGAGAACATCAAGAAACTCTTTATACTGAGAATAAATAATTGCTTTTGCACCTGGATCAGAATCTCTGAGCCAAATCACATGCCGAGCAAGAGTAGCAATCTTGGTTGTGAAAGATGGCTCTCTGAGCTCGATATTTTTGATTTCCGATAATGATTCTGGGCTAAGTTCAGAGTATATGACCGATTTTTGAAGGGTTGGATGAGGTAAATCACATTCTAGCCGGTTATTCGTAACATTTTCCTTTAGGATTGATAGGGGTGGTGCAAGTGTAATTTTAAATATATCTGCGTGTGTCATTTTCTGCTTACATACAGGACAGTTTCTATGCGCTTAAGTAGCATTAGTCCAGATACTAGTGACACAAGAAGAAGACTTACATGATCGTAGCATGGAAATGCACTCTTCACAATATTGGTGTCCGCAAGCTGTTATTGCACCATTATTGAATGTTTCTTGACAGATTGCACAGATTTTTTCCTCCTGAGGGTTGTTGGCTTCTTTCCGAAGATGTTCGAGGTAACGTAACTTAGATTTGGACATCGCTACTTGATTTTTTACTAAGTTTTCATCATTTTGGATCTTAGATAGCGCCTTTTCATCACTTGGCCCTTGATATGGAGCCACCATATCCGATATTTGCTGAAGCTGGCGATAATACTCAAGTCGATTATTCATGATACTCGTGAAGAGTTCTACTTCTTTTTCTAGCACGATTGTAACTTTGAGATTCTGCGTCAGGAGCTCCTGGATATGCTTTAGATGCCGCTCGTAGGATGTTAATTTTTCCTGTGCCTTAAAGCCACTCTTATTTGCCTCAATTTTCAGTGAGTTTACAATAGCACGGAGTTCGTTAACAGTTCCACGGATAGAACCAATTTTTACTGGTTTGGCCTGATCTCGGATTCCAAGCAACTCGATAACCTTCTCAGGATATATGCCTTCGCCATTATGTGCTAATCGTAAAGTTGTCCTCACTTCATCGGTGACTAGTTTGCTAGTTTGACCTGTCAAGACATGAAGCCTGTCACTGATAATAGTTCGAAGGGCTTGTATATAGACCATTAATTCTTCTTGGACTAACGTAGAATTTTCGTATTCATTTCCGGTAAGATTCAATCCATCATCCTCGTCAACTAGAGGCTGAAGCAGAATTTGAACTGTAGACTCTCTCCACTTACTTATGATATCAGACTGGGAATTAAGGCAAACAGCCAGTCCATCCAGTTTCTTCATAATTTTTTGCATCTCAATACTCTCATCAAATCTTAATGTAGTGAATCTTGGAACCTCAACAAATGCTTTCAAAGCCTCCATATTTTCAAGTTTTTTTGTATGGTGTTCAACCTTAGAACATATTTCCTGATGAATTTCACGTCGCAACCTCTTTGCATCTTCATAACCCTGTATTTCAAGGTTTTCAAGTCTTTGAAATTCATCTGAGTCTGGTTTTGTCAAAGTTTCATTGGACCTAATCTGAAAATAGGCATTGGCACAAAAGAATATGGCTGTATGCTGAATTTCCAAAGCTCCTCTCAAACGGTTGCGTAACATTGTGATTCGAGATGCCGGATCTTCCAGTCTTTTACTTTTGTTTTTAACATCGGAGTTTCCACTTTCATCTTTGCTAGTGGAGTTAGAATTAACTTCAAAGTTTAAGAGCTCTCGATCTATTTCTTGACGATATTCTTGGGCGAAAAAGGAAGAATCATTAGCTACTTCTGACCAGATTTCAAGAGATTCAACCACTCTAGGAGAGTTCTCATAAAATTGTCCACGTTTTAGCTTTAAAGTATGTAGTATTCGCTGGCCTGTTCGAATGGAAGAGTCAGTTTGTTCCATCATAGCTTCTAAAACTTGGTCAACTGTACGGAGTGTTTTATCTCTGCAGCCTAGTTCATTTCGATTTCTGTTACCTATTTGAGGATGAAGGGCTGCTTGTCTTAAACGAATAAGCCATTTGCGCATAGTGTCAGAATAGAGGTCTATCTTCCAGTCTTTGACGAGAGGAATACCTTGGATATCAAGACTAGATTCAGCACACATTTTAAAGTAAAGCTCCTGATAATGCTGTTTCTCGACTGGTGTAAACGGCACCTTGATAACAAACCTTTTTTGCGCTGGTAGTCTAAATTCGTCACTAACACTTCGTTTGGAATGGCGGATTGCAATTTTTTTGACAAGTTTTTTGAAAACATGCTTATGGGAAGTTATCAAAGCTTGCCATATATGTTTGTTCGAAGCATAAGGTTCATGTTTGAGGAAAATAAAGAGCCCTCTAAGGTCGTCGACATCTTTTTTAATTGGCGTGCCAGATATACACCACGCGTTCACACGGGGGATTAACCTTGCCAAAACTGCAGCCTTGCTTACCCCACTATCTATCATTTGTGCCTCGTCAATCATACAGCGCCACCAATTTAGCATCATCAATGGAGATTTTGGTCGCGCATATTTTCGCTGATGTCGGAGGCTTTTTTCTGGATTGAGCTGAGTGTAATGAATTTCTGCTGCTAATACCGAATAGGTTGATATGACTATGTCAGAACTTGCGAGTGTAGAGAGAAGCTCGGAGGAATCTTTATCCTTGTGCCCCTTTATGCCCTTGTAATGCATAAATTTGAGTGAGGGTGCATATCGCATTATCTCATTGATCCATTGCGGGAGAATTGATGGTGGTGTGATTATTAAAGTAGATGAAGTAGGGAGGGTCTCCATCTGTTTGTAGCGCTTCGCTTCCTCCGAGGAAATACTTGGGCGTTTATGAAGAGTAATTAAGCTAATCATTTCGATCGTTTTTCCGAGCCCCATTTCCTCAGATAATATTCCTCCATTTATCGTATTTTCTGATTCTAAAAAAGGGATAAAGTCCAAGGTTACAATCCCAAATAAGTGACTCACAAAACACTTGCGGCCCATAAAATCAGTGACTTCAATAAATGACTCAGGGATGCTCAATGTGGTTTTATCAGAGTTCAGTTTCTTTGTAGAGCCATCATGAGACCAAATGGTGCCTTCTCGCCAGAGTAGCCACTGTACCGTTCTCTTTTGAAATGGATACAAATTAAAGGTTACATTGGGTACCACGAAGGATTTTGTAGATGTAGTACTTTGGGTAGAGTAAGCACTTGCGTAAAAGTCCTGAGGTGACCATCTTTCCCCTTTAACGATTCGTGAATCGGGAAAGTAGAGATCTAGAACTCGATTCAAGGCATTATTTTTACGACCGGTTGATGTTATATCATTTGGTATTGCTGTTATTTCCCATTTGATAGTAAGACTTAACAGAACAGTATCAGAGGTATTCTCTCTAACTAGAGCGATATCAAATTCTGTCCAGAGATATCCATGAGTTATTGTAGATTTTTTCTTAAATTTATTAACCAATAATGCAGTGAAAATATCAGGTCGATCTTCCTCGGGAGGAATTGAGAAACGAATCAGTGGGTTACCCGTATCGTCTTTGATTTCAATGTATTCTGGATATGGCAAGTGCGTCCAGTGAACATATGGCTCTATATTATATCTTTTTATAGTCTTGGTTTCATTTGTAAATCTAGGATGCACATATTGTACCTCAAGAGTAGATTGATTGACGATTATATGGTCGATGTTATTTTCGGTAGGAAGCTGACCAAATTTATGTACGTCAAGTATCTTTTGCCGCTTAGGAGTTGGCCTAGAGGTTTCCTTGTCTTGAGAAATAAAGCTGAGGAGGTTTTTAAGATTTTCAGTGTGGGGGCTACTAGAGTTCGAAAATTCAGGTCGAGACATCGACAAGTTCTGTTATTACATAAATGTTGAACGTGAACGATAGTGACAGTAGCTGAGAATCTAAATTAGAATTGAGAAATGAAGCGACACGAATATATACGTTAGAGCTCCAAAACGTTGATTCTACATCTGAGCAGTTCATAAAGGGATGTGAAATACTGCCTTATCTGACACGAGTCGCGTTGCTATTAGGTACTTTAAGCAGATTTATCACGTCAACATGTGACCTGCTTATATGGCTGCATAAACGCTTCTGTGGGCAAGCGACACGAATTGATTTGTGACGGAGATGATATCCGCCAGGAGCCTCATTTACGAAAGTGTAAGACAAAGAATCCAGCGAATATTTCCTTTACAAGATTCTAATTCTTCCCGCAGATAAGATTCAAAATGTTTAAATACCCAAGGTCAAAGCCCATTTCGACTTTGATCAGTGACCTCAGACAAAAATCACAAGCACGAAATAATTCAACTACAACTACAGAATTAACATCAAAAAAGTTTATTTCAGCTAAAAGAAGAGTCTTCTGGGTACCAAGTCCTAGCAAGTTTGTTCCTGATGTCCAGACATTCCTATCTTTAATTGGTCGTAACATGAGCGAACACTGTTCCAAAATACCAGGCTGGGCATCCCTATTCAGATTGAAGTCTACAGAACTCAAAAACCTCGGCATTGAACCGCCAAGAAGTCGACGCTATCTCTTACGCTGGCGAGAAAAATATCGGCAAGGAGATCTCGGTCCTGGTGCAGATTTTAAATATATCAAAGATGGTGTAGCTCTTCTAGGAATAGCCAAAGTACCAAAAGACCCGAAGCTCAGTAAAGACAATATTGAGTCGGTGCCACTAGGAATGCGAAAGATTGTGGTCAATATACCCTTAGGAGCTTCTGTCGAAGATATTCCCCCTGAGAAACTATCACAAGTGAAAGGATATCGTGTTAGGGGAGCCCATACAATTGTTGGACCTTTTGCTCTTCCTGTGAAGGGTGGAAAAGGTGCAATAGTCACACGAAAGGAAGGAATGTGGGAAATGAGAAGGGGACGCAAAATTGATGGAGGTGAAAGGCGACAAGCTCAAGTTCGAGCTATGAGGAGAGGCGAAGAGAAGCGTGCTGCCGGATAACGAAGCTTTTAACCTCGACCTGTTTAAGGCAAGCTCAACCAAATTTACCAAATCATGGAGTGACTTAAGTCTCGCTATTTTCATCTAATTAACAGCAATACAGATCAGCATAAAAAACAATATTATTTGCGCGTATATTGTTAACGTAAAAGTACGGTCAAAAAGTAATTCCAATCTTTCCACAAGGAATAATATCTACTGTAACAAACAAACTACTACTCACATATTGTTTTAAGCAAGATGATCAAGCTCGAACAATATACCAAGGATTTATGATAGCAACACCTATAATAAGTAAATATCAGCAACTCATAAGACTTCAGGCCTATTTTCTGTAATAAAATTGGTGAACCATAAAATCTCCTGATCTTTCTTGGCTCTTATGCTCAACTTCTTTTTCCTGGCATAAAAAATTTTGCGAATAAGGATACAAGTATCTAAGCGGATTAAAGTACTTCTATTATCTGAGCTAATTTTTGTTAAATTTTCAGAAATAATTGATCTTCAAGCATCGATAAATCAATGATGAATCTTGTTCGGAATGGTGAAGCTCCTGTTCATTATTCTCACAAAAATTACTATTGGCATGCCTTCAATTTGTTTCAAATTTTCTTCGCTCTTCTGTCGAAAGCTCTTCTTTGATTGCAAAATGCGCTCAACTTGAGATTTTCAAAACTCCATTAGCCTTAGGCAGAAGAATGCCTGTGTAAGATGTGTCAATACACGTCCACGACAATACCAACACCCGAAGAAGAGAACTAATAGTGGCGCACAAGTCTATGAGGCAGATTTTATGGATTGACGCGAGGGATAATAGTACAGAAAGGCAAGTTTAATATACGGATATTTATTAGTGACGGGCACAAGCCCCTGCACCCAAAGAGCTTGATATGGAGAAGGCTAGTCCTTCGACAACTATATACGACAGCTCAGTTTTACTTTTGGATCACTCATGTAATGGGTAAATTTGCTGATAACTCCAGACCTTGGTGCTAGGGACTTTCACCCTTCCCTCCAACGTTAAAATGGACCATAGGGAAAAAGAAAAACCTTTGGCTACCCTGATATGCCTTTATCATCTTGCATATGGCCATCGCGCGAGATATGGCTTCACAGTCCTCCTTTTCTCGAATAAGGTAGGTGTCCAGGCTACTAAGACTTCAATTCGAGAAGATGATGACCAGAAGACGGACCAAAACACCTTCCACCGTTGCCAGTTTTCAGAGTGTCGGTAGCACGTTCCAAAATCGTTGTCTCTGTGCCCACATACATCCTTAAGTCGAAAACGTTCGAAAAATTTGCGTCCGAGCTTGCCCATTTGTGACCCCTTCAAGCTTTCGTCCCAGGTCCCAGCTGCCTGTCCTCCCTCAAGATGTGAAGCCCCATTAGATTAGCGGTCCCCCACAGACCAAGACCCGAGCTTTGTAGATAATGAATTAATTTCATCCTCGCGGGTATAAATAGCTTGGTAACTCTACAGTGGAAGATGACCGATTTTCGATGCGACAAATTCCCGATTACGGTTGGAGCAATGTTTTTATTAGAAGTGAAGGCAAGGTGGTGTATTAAGATTGAGGTGAAGACTCGCTTGAGAATGATAGGTCCAGCATTGAGAAGTAGTCGATTTTAGAAATGCACAAGATTGCATTCAACTTTGATTCTGTTGCAATTCTTCTTGGATATCCCAGATATGCAGAGCACACTGAGCGATTACAAGGGCACCAATTGAAAGTGAATAGTTCGCCTTTGCCAGCAGAAAGGCAAGTTGATCTAGGGATAAATATAATGTAGGTAGTGATCGAATCTCGATTCTCCACGAGACGGGAATGTGCGGTAAACATTAAACCACGAATACATCTACAGAGATAGTGAAAGTTATGGCATACCAACAGTGGATGGAATCCTGGGCCGAAGAAAAACGGACTCGGAAGCCTCGGTAACTAGCAACCGGAGATCCCGAAACTTGGAGAGTGGCCAAATTTTAACAAAGTAGAAAATCCGGACGGCAAAAACCGAGTATACAAGACCCATTATTTTTCTTACATTATAACCTGATAAGTGCCTAAAGTAGTTTAGGACTTCAAATTCGCAATGAGCATATGGGGCTCAACTCGTATTTACATAGAAAAAAAAACCCCGGAGTATTAACTCTAGCCTGTCCGGGACTATTCTCAACATATAAGGAAATGGTTAAACTGCCCTTTGCAGCTATTGATGGTGACATGAATTAAGATGATGATTCTGATTGAGATAGATTTCTATATTCTTTATTATACATGATATGCTCAGGTTCATATACCTCGAGCCAAGCAACCAGATTATGTTCCTCTAGATCTAGATTCATCAGAATAATTATTTACTCAGTAAAATTCTCCCAGTCTAAGTTATGTGTTTAGAATATTGACTAGGTTTCTAGTAACTAGTCAATGATGTTTCTCCTATCACTGAGACATAGTCATGGTTGATACAACAGATACAAACAATGAATCGTGTCTGTACATGACGTTGTGATATAGTCATGATCGTCTGAACAATATCAACTCATGAATGAATCATGTATCTACATGACACAACACCTATCAGTGGTGTCCCCTATGAGCCCCCAGCTCTCACAGTAGACTCTGTAGGCGCAAGATTGAATAACTCCTTCGTCCTCTCTTCTATAAGGATTCCCAATCGCTTCAGCGGTTTGTATCGTCTTCATCTCTCAGAACAGCCCCCAAACACAAATATCATGAGGCTAACCTCCATCATAGTAGATTATAGGGTCGAATTATTAGCTATCACCCACCCAATTTTGTTGGTCATGAAGGAGAAATCCTCCACTGAGTTTGTTGGGCATACTCAGCACTCAATACGTCAATGGTGGATTGGATCAAGTCGGCCTTCAATGTTACAAAGAAGGGAAATACATATGAATATGAGCACCCTATGTGGTCCAGATGTTTAGGCCTCGCCTGGCTGGGGCTACAGGTTTCTGGAGACTTTTTCCGGCGCACGCAGTTTCCATTGCTTATTAAGGCATGACCCTCAGGATCAACTGGCAAATAACTGTAATATTCAAATTAAAAATTAACCTATTAATTGAAGAGCTATTTAGGTAGATCTTTAAGTAGTCTTTCATAGTCTAGGACTCAGTAGAGACTTAAATTTAAATCAATCAATCAATTATTGCTACCATTTTTTTGGATAGAAGGTTCCGTGGAAAAAGTGGCTGAATTCCACGGGTAAATATTGAGCTGAATAGCTATTAATCAAGGGAAATGTATCAATGATCTAGTAAGTAACAAAAGAGGCAAGGAGCACTGTACAAGGTGCTGTCTACGTCAAAGAGGAGCCCGGTTCCCTAGATAGTCATAGACTCAAGTAGTGCAAGAGACAAGACATATTGTAAGTAATTATTACATTCATATCATTTGGATTCATAAAACGAGACTAAATGCCAAGCCTTTAAAGCCCTAACCTTGTTTCTAGGTTCTCGTGTCCTTACCTGTGCAGGGGGCCGAGTCCTCGCGCAAGTCGGCCTTACGAGGCTTGAAGCTCATCACTGCTCTCAGACACACAGACAAAGTTGCCTCCATCGATGATCCAAAAATAACGACGGATCGGAGCTGATTTCAATGCTAGCGTGACATTATCTTTAGCTAAACCCGCACGTCTCACACAAGCGATTGTAATGGAAGATGACGAGGGACGCTCGCCAGGGTCAACTATGGCTTATTCGGAGGTAGATGAACAAATGACAATTCAAGCTTCATCACCTATACGCGCAGACTCTAGTCGTTTCGTTCAGCACTTTGCTTATAATTCTGATTCACAGCAACAAATGGCATCAGAAGGGATCAAAACACCAGGAGATATCGTGGCCATTGCACAAATGCTCACCAAATCAAGCACCGCCCGAAAGCGTAAGGAGCCTCCAGGTGTTGTAGCTAATAATTCCACACATGCTGGGAATAAAGTGAAGCATTTGAAAAAGGATGATGGCGAGCCATTATGGAGAAAAGACATTCAATACGACTTTCTAAAGGCAGTTTTCGACGACCCTAATGAAGTGTTCACAAACAGTTATGAGCCAGACTCTCCAAAGCAAACTTTTGCTAACCTTTACATTGATACGATGGCTAGGAGTAGCAAGACTAGTAAGATCTTGCGGGATAAACTCTTGACCGAACATGAACCAGCAAAAAATATGGCCATGGTCTGTCTTCTAGTAAATCTAGGCCGTATGAATACCACATTGAACTGTAAGAATTACGTGTCTGCATTAAAAAACTTACTAAGGCAACAGTCTTTCCCGAAATGAGGGCACAACTACGTACCTACCATGCAATACCATCTTTACAAGCATATCAAGATCCAAACTCTTACAAACAATTACAAGATGCACCTAGATTAAAATCGATACTGAAGGGAGCTTCGGAAGATCGACCTGAGCCTAGCTCACTTGATAAAATAAAACACAAAAATGTACCTCGAACGAACCCCGTAAACTTAATATTTGTTCTGGCTCAGTATGCGCCACGGGTTACAGAGCTACACATGCCGCCTGAAAGGGACTTCTACGACTTAATCATGGCTGAGAACCTGTCGAGCGAATCAAGAGCCAAAGCATTTCTTTGGCTTTTATGGTTCTATCTTGAATCTGACTTCACTGAAGAGGGTGCCGACGAAAATCCGTTCGGACCTGGAGTTGATTATGAAGTAAACGTGAGAAACCAAGGCGTTCCAAGATTCAAGGTTCTTACGCCTAAAGAGCAAGATCTAGAAAATTTAGACACACCTGAAGAGAAAGAGTACGGTTATGCAAAGATGAAAGAGCGAAAAAGAATAATTGAGGCAGATCAGGCTGCATTTCAAGCTGAGAATGGTCCACCTAAGCGAGGACCGAAGCCAAAACTTCACTTACCACCTGATGAAGGTGGTACTCTCTCAGCTATTGCAGGAAGAATCCGCCCGAAATTTGAACTCACAGGTGAAAGCCCAAGTATACTTCTGGGAAGGATAAGACCAAAGTATGAATCAGATTTAGATAGTACTCGTTCGACGCCCCCACCGCGTGTTGTTAGCGTGATGCGAGTTCAAGGAACGAAAGCACGCGGATCGCTTAAGCATGCATTTGTAGAAGGCTCGTCGCCCGTTCCTCAAGGAGAACTCGCTCAACGTCGCTCACGTCCACTGACAGCACATCAACTAGCAGTTGAACGTAATCGTAACCAACGAGTTGACTATATCCTTATTCGTGGTCTTCGGAGAACGCACCATCAGGCTAAGAAAGAACGCAAACAGCAAGGTGCATTTTGGAGGGCTCTTCAGAGAATTAACAAAATGGTTGATCCCCTTGAAGATAGCGAGGACGAAACTACACTTCAAAGAGATCCCTTGCACTTTAAGGAGAAAGGATTTGGTGGGATCGTGCAGCTAGAAACTGAAGAAGACGATTTCGGAGAGGAATTTTCATCCTATGCCGCAGCATTTAGACGCATGGGGAGACGATTAAACCGCTGGGAGGGACGGAAAAGTTCAAATGATGGTAGTATTGGGATTAGAAAAACTACAAAACCAACACTAGAAGATAAAAATACAAGCGATCGTAATAACGACGACACGGAAGACGAACAGCCGGCCTGTAAAAAGCTTAAGAAGGGTATGAAAAAGAATGGAAATATAGATGAAGATGAGCATGAGGATTTAGATGATATGGAAAAAGAGATACTCGGCCTCCAAAGCGATTGTGAAGATGGTGATGAAGATCTTGATGATGTTGACAAGGCCTTGCTGGGTCTTGGTGGCGAAGAGACAGAAGAAGAAGAAGAGGAAGAAGATATTAGTGACGATGTTTGATAAACTAATTGACTTTATGCGGTCAAAATATTTTAAGATCTGTGTTGGTATATCAAATGTGGGATACCTTGGTGTTTATGGCTTACAAGACGACTCAGCAGGCTTTGATTCTTTTGGTGAGTAATTTCTATTACTGCAATTTTAACTGTTGATTCGATTTCGAACTATTAGGAAAAGGCTGGTTTTTTCTTATATCTAATTATCAAGTAGATAAATTGATTTGGTTATCGCCCAAAATTTGCACTGAGTTTATCAAAAATATTACGCTTTATCTACACCATGGCCCAAATTTGAGGATAGATTAGGCAATGTCCTTCTCGTTGAATTATTACTCCTTTCTCTGAGAATAGTATCTAATAAGAATTTTGGGTATAAACAAAAATCGATTTTGACCGTCATTAATCTAATCTATACTCTACCGAAGGTGTAATCGACGCAATTTACCAGATGTTTCGATAATTTTCCATTAACTCTCATAATACACTGCCAGAGGTTACAAATATGATGGGTATCTCTACGCTGTCGGAACAGGAACTACAAATACCCTGGCTGTTACGACTTAAAGTTTTTGCATGTAACACAACAAGTTGTTGAATGATTATGTTTTATGTCTTATGTTCAGATATATTTATTCCTAGCTTTGCTAAAATTTTAATGAGCAAAAAATAGAGGTCAACTGCTTTCAAGAATAACAAATTCGAACTAGGTCTACTCGCATAGGATAATCGCATCAATTTTTAATTCATGCATATTCTAGCTAACTGCTCGTATTTCTTTAACCACTGTTTAACATTTCGGTTTTAACAAGAAAACACCTCAAGTACAGGACCTTCGCGCGTACTGATAGTATTGTCTACATTAAACTCATCGAATTATTACAGAACTAATTCAAAGTTTTGACTAGACAACTGGGTCTAGACCCCTGAACTTGCTAATTTGGTATGAATAGTAATTAGATGAATAGCTGCTGAGATTAAGTAGACTTAAAATATCCTCAGATACAATTATTTATGTAGCTTTAAACCACGTCGTCGTCTAATATATGTATTTTATGCGATATCTGCATTAATAATTTGGATCTCCAAACACGAGCGATAACATAGATCATCATATCACATGTCACCTCTAAGACCCAATTAATCGTGGTTTAATTGACTTTTAATTTAGATTTGATTTCATCTAACCCGATTTAGTGCCCTACAGGCCCATGCCGGTGTCTGTCAAACTTTTTAGTTTATAAAAGAGGAAATCTTATAGTAAAAATCCTTTTATCTGTCTGATTAGATACTATGTCGTTTTAGTCTTACCTTAAGGAAGTTCTCTCACTGTTGTTGCCAATGGGGATTCTATCCTTGTCATGTGTTCCTATATTCCCTTCCTCGCCTTATTACCGTTTCGATTTCTCCAGTTATCCAAAATTACTCAAGCCATCCTTCCTTGTGAACGCACTGTGTAATTCTAGCCTTGTTTTTGGCGTTATTTATCATAGTTTCGAAGGATCAAGCTGTCGATTTTCATAGCAACCCACCTCTTACCTTTACCCATTTTGGACAAGACATTACCGTGTGCTTCACGTTTTTGGACGAATAATTGCATTGAAATCATAGTCTTCCTGCATCTGGGACATTCCTACGATATAGGTAAGTCTTAGAAAATTATCGAGTAGTTCATACTAGAATGATGTGAATGCTGATTCTGAGAATGTTGGATTGATTGTTTGCTTCATTGCTTTCTATCCAAACATGATGATATCGCTCAATCACATGTACGTCTTTCGTTCTATACTTCGATCCAAATGTCTATGTCAGTACTACTCAGTCGTCAACTGAGACTCACTGACTTAGTTACTATTGTCATATCATAACATCTGTTAAACGATTACATGATGTAAAGAGAATTCTTTGTGATGATGCTCTAAGCTCAATGTGTAACATTGAAGTTGGAATTACCAACTATTAACTGGGAAGTGGTATGCGCTAGGTGGTGATAAGACAAATCTGAACAATTCTGGTTGGGAATGCGAATAGTTAGTTGGACGGATTTGATAAAAATTTGGGTATTAACGTTATGTATATATAGACCTGCTCATATAGTAGAATATAGAATTCATCCGAATTTTACAAAAGTTTTGAGCCCGGATTTGCCCACTGTACACCCGGAATTTGATTGATATAACTTACGAGTCAGCTACCTATATAAATTTTTACTTGCTTTCGCCTCTGACGAGAGTTTTTGATCACACGGAAAGTATTCAAAAATATGGACGATACGAGGGAATTTACTACACAACGTTTTAAGGGTGTGACGGAAACCGAGTTGGTAATAAATAAGTCGATTTATTAAACTATATGAAGAGAAAAGAAATCTCTAGCTACCACTAACAGGCACTTATAAAATTTCATCCGCTTCGTGAATCTGCTAATTGATAACTTTCCCCTAGGCCTAATACTTGCAACCGAGCAAAGTATTATCAGGAGCCATTACCCTATGTTGTTGCTTCGACCTCCTAGCTGATAGTGCCATTTCATATAGATTTATCCATCCTTCCTTCCTCTTTCAGTCTTATCGTAATTATTTCGAATTAAACGCTTAGGAGGAAACCTAAGCTTAAACAACGGTCAAACCGTAGTAAAGGGTTACAGTGTAACACATTCTAACTATGTCAAATGGAGAGATGTGATAGAGGACTATCTTGAGTCAGAGGGCTGAGGAGTGTTTATCAACAATGATTCACCAAAAACTGTTGATAAAGATATCAGGACGAAATCAACAAAGATAGCGGTCGTACTTGTAACGGCTAGTGAGCCGGTAATTACCCTGTGGCACATGATGTTAATCACGTGCTTCACAACTTTACGAAACCACTATTCTATCATAGATTAATCTGGACATCACTAGAAATTTCTAGCAACTAGTAGTAAGACTGCGAACCAGCCTCAGGGGAAAATACTAGAAACTGGTATTAGTCAAGAATATTCTAGATAGAATAGTAAGCGAATAAATAGTTGAAGTTGGACGTACATAGATAGCCATAGAGAAAATAATAAATAACCTTCGTATATTTGATCGCCCCAGCATCTATACCTCGAACCGTGACAGTACTAAAAGCAGCAGTAGGCAACCAAAGGACTTACTAGTTGGGACTCAGAACACCGAAAGAAATTATGTGAAATTAGATGAAATAAATGGAGAATCAATTAAGGGAACACTATCTTCACTCCAGTTCCAGTTCTCTTCACCAGATCCGGAGAAGAGGGTGGATGATGTTGCAGCATCATTATCACAATTACAAGCTCGTGTGTTACGGTTTGACTGTTGTTTGAGCTTAGGTGGATAACTAAGCTTGATACTAAGAATCCTTACGATGAGGCTGTATAGGGGTGGAGATGAAGCTGAACAAAAAGGCACTACTACTCAGGAGGCTGAAGCATCATTACAACTTAGTGACACCTGGAAATACGTGGCTGGGTAGAAGTATTGTGCCTGAGGACAAGTCACTAGTCTGTAGATTCACGAGGAGGATAAACTCTTATAAATACCTGTTAGTAGTAGCTAGAGTTAGCTTTGCTGTAATTAAGGGAGTAACATGACTGCATTACAATAAACTGTTCACATTAGAATAATGTGCACATGCGCCGTGGGATATGATTGACCTAAATCATCACTCATTGGTATGACATAGTATTTCCCAATAGATTCCTAATGGTATCTATTGGCGCTAGGATCTCTCACATCCTTCCTTTCTCGGTTAGACAAGGACAGATGTTGGAACATCCACTAGTGTGCAGAACCCCCTTATTCATGTATATAGAAGAAGGTCCTGTCACGTAGATAAATAAAGCAATTCATACAATAGGAAATTCAAACAATCTCCATATTATTTACACACTTGAGAATACTAGGGAATATCCTCAAGTTCGTCCATTGATCCAAGTCCTAAGAGTATAACTCACGAACTTTACTTCTCTTAAAGCCATAGCTACCTCCTTCCATACCTTCATCCTAACGGTACGTCATTCCAGCTCAGCATAGCCTTTCAATAAGCTTTTCTCCTCATACAGTTTATTAAATTGATTTATTCATCACCAACTCGGTTTCTGTCACAATATAAACTGTATCTCATTCAAATCCTTTGCCCATCATTAAGTACATCGCAGTCGCAGATAACTGTGACTTAGGGCATCTTTAATTATTGGTTTCAACGCACAGGGATTCTAAGAATCAACAATGGGTTCAGAAATGAACAATTTTACAATCGGAACGGACTTTGTGGCAACTGGTTTATCGAACCAGAAATCTATGCCACATGGAGAAACAAAATCAGAAATGCAGCAACTGGTCGAAGAAATGAGATTAAGAGGAAAAGAACACAGAAGAGACCTTGGGATTCTACAATCTCAGATGAAAGAAATGATGAGAACAATGCAGGAACGATTGTCACAGTTCGAATATAGAAAGCGAATGGGCATTTGTATGATTGAAAGGTAAAGCTATAATTCATCTATGTAGAAGCAAACTACCTACAAGTCTCCTCTACTACTTATACACATCCAGAGGTATCTAAATCTAGCCTACGTTTACAGTGGCAATGAAACTGACGTAAGGTTTGTTCTGCCACACGGGTAACGCTTCCGATACTCTTGGCACTATCCTTTACGTAGCCTCAGTGGCGATATCCTATCAGTTTTCGTCTGCTGATAATCCTTGGAGTGATAGATAATATAGGTTGCCTTCGATAGCCATCGAAGGCTACAGGGCTTATCGGCTCACAAGCCGTCACAACGATCGGAGAATGAGAAAAAAACTCCCCTGCAACTGTCAAGAGCTAATGTGGGAGGCCAATCAGAACGTAGAGAATGCTTCATTGAAGAAGAACCGCTTAAATGGCCAGAAGCATACAATCACAAGGATAGAACTAGGTGGGCGTTTACACATGGAATACTTAGGTACATATACAGGTGTGATGTAGAGGAGCGGAATATTCTTCAACCGTCTGACTT